TGCAAGCCAAACCACAAAGGTAAGTACTCTCACCATCCCCAAGTCAACCTGGACAAACAATAGTTCGTAGTTTTTCAATGATTTACCCCTTTATACCCATAAGGCATAAAGCTAGACCACCCGAACTTATGGGAACCTGCCTAGCTTAGCCATATAATATACACACATTGGGCACAACAACGTTTCTCTTCTTTGGGCATATGATTAGGCCACCCTAGTCGCCCTGAATTGTTTAAGTATCCCAACTTTATATAGTTATTTCTAGTCTTTTGAGGTAGCATATAACTGAACCGATCATCTTCAGCTCAAGATTCAGCCTGCCCCTTCGTACCACAAGTTTATTCTTAATTAGTATTCTCTTTAGTTTGTGATAAGCTATAGTCAGACCACCCAAACTTATGGAACCTTGTCTGACTAGCCTGTTCATAGATATAATAATAGTAAAGTATAGCCACATTATAACCTTCTAGTACCAGCATGTGCGAGGCGTTGGACCAAGACCACCCAAACTTATGAAACATGTCTTGGTCCTCAGCCTGGTTCATTTCTCTTAAAGCCAAAACAGGAAGAGGCCGAGCCACCCAAACTTATGGAACATGCTCAGACCTCCTCGTTCAGAACCAAAAAAAACTGAAAGAAAACCTAAAGTAAACAAGGCGACCAAGCCACCCAAACTTATGGAACATGCTTTGGTCCCTGAAAGTCATTCACATTCAACCCTCACAAGTCAGAGCAACCAGACCACCCAAACTTATGGGAACCTGTCTGGTCCTTCAGGCAATCCAAAATAAAAATAACATTAGGCCCTCGAAACTTATGGAGACTCTCCCAGCCTTTGGTTGACCCAGTCAAGCTCAGACAATATAACCTTCCTTCCATCCTTCCCCCAGATACAATACCACAGTCCGCTTAGTCAAACAATGAAACTGAAAATGACATTGCACATACATTTCTTTACTTAATCTGGTTTATGTCCTGAAGTCAAACTGAATGAATACAAGTATGGGTTATAATCAGATCTATAGAAGGAAAGCAATGGTTACCTTTCAGTTCCCTGCCTCCAGAACTTTTGAGTTTCGGCAGAGCTCCCACAATCGGTGGGCCGACTCCCCACATAGTCCTGCTGCGGTCCTACGGGTTGCAATCCCGCTTGCCGCCTTCCTCTCAGAATTGGACTACACTTAGAGTAAGAAAGGCAGAAGAAGATAGATTTGAGTCTCTCGGATACAAGAGAGGTGCTCTCAGACTCGCATGAGAGGGCCTTGTTTCCTTGATGCTCTTGAGGGCCCCGCAATGGTGGCCAACGTAACAGCTTGGTCAACGATAATCAAATCGCCGCCTGTTTGCCTCCTGACGATTTTTTCAATTCTCAGCAATAACGCCCTATAGAATGACTAAGGCACTCCGCCAGGCTCATAGCTCCAAACTGTATTAACCATGGGTGAGTTCGCAGCCTCGCAGCTTGCCGACGGCTAGCTCCACCACTAGGATAAATAGTGCACTAGCCAGCTGATAAACTGCAGTATCCACAATCTCACCCCTCGCCTCCCCAAGTCCATGTGACTCATCCAAGCAATTGAACGTGCGTAAAATGGGGCATCAGCGCTGGCAAGGAACTCGACAAACTTGTCGCAATGGTCATACGGACCGCACATGCAGAGATTGGAGCAAGGCATCGGGGCCAGACCGTGGAGTTTAGAATACGTGGAGTTTAGAATACTAATGAAACTAACCAACATCAGGGAGCAATGCAAGCATACGTGGCTATGTCGAGCACACCCGCTCCTTCCCTCTATACGACTGTTACTAACGTCGTTTGCTACTAACGTCGTTTGCTACTAACGTCGTTCGCACACTTGAGCTCCCGTGCAGTACCGTGTCATACTCTGGTTATTGTAATATGATGTTACCCGACTATTAATCCGGCCAGGCTCCCAGAGTGGTTAGGCTAGTGGGTGAGACGAGTGAAACCCGTAACAGGACCATGGTCCTAACGATGAGCATAACGCTGGTATAATGACTGCCACCAGGTGAAGGCTGCCACCAGGATTACAGAAGAAAGACAGGGCAAGGCGAACAGCATAGTCCTTAACCAAACGGCTACCGGGGAGAGCCTGATGAAGTCGCATGTGATGACAACTATAGGCTCTTACTTACGTATCCGCCAGTCGAATGGCACAAGAATGGCTGCACAGCTCGATGGGAAGTACGAGCTCGGCCGTAATCACAGACTTGCTCGATTACCTGTAGAATGTGCAGATTGAGAAAGAAACTTGTGCTGAAACACGGAAAGATACATGCAGTGTTAAAGTCCCTCCCGCTAACACTGCAGGCCGCACGCCAGAGCAAAAACTAGTGTTAGTATCGTGTTTACTATACCCGAAAACCTTGACTTAGCCCTTATTTCGTTGTTCGGTTCTATAGCGACCCGGACGAGATATCCAGCTAGTGCCCATCTCATTACCAATTTGAGGCCGCCATGGCCCGAAACCCCCGTCTGTTATGCCTCGAAAACTATACTCTAGCACCGAAAACTAACTTCTCAGTCTATATCACCCTCCCCCAAAACCTTTGAAATCGCCTTCTATTCTGTCGAAAACGACTAAGAATCGAAAGAGTTGTACCTCTTTGAGTGCGCTTTGTCAGCTACACCTTCGCTTTCGTTGAAAGTACCCGGCGCGAATTTGTGCCTAGGTGCACTGCCACTTACCATACTTCTCTCATGCGTCGCCATTATGGTGAGTCCTCTCTCTCTCTCTCTCTCTTTGTGCGTTTGCTCCGCTCGTTGTCCGCCACCGACCGATCGTTGCTTCTCTTCTGATTTTCCCATTCGTCCTCAGCCCCTAACACTTACCTCGTCGAACCCACTATCCTATAGTTAAAACTAACAGTACCATTAGATTCACAGTACTGAAAAACCCCTACTCACAGCTTTACTTCGCCCGATTCTTTATAATCGGGCGAGATATCGCGTTTTTCCTCGTGCCATATCCGCTTTTCTTCGACACCTTCGTGCAACTCTTTCCCTACTAACCTCTCGTTTTACTAATTTTTTCTCTAATCTGACTTCACAGTCGGGTTCGCCTTGGCCGAAAACTCGCGGAACGGATCTTGGCTCGCCCAATTCCACCAAGGATCGAGCGAGCTATGCGATTTCTAGCCTTCCGTATCCACTCCTTCCCCATCTCTGTTTGTGAATGGATCTGGCGCAAAACCCGTCCGGGTGCATTCCCCTTTTCTGCGCCTGTACCTCGCTTCTCTTGCTCGCCCCTCCTCGCCTTCTTCACTTCCGCTATGGCTCACTCACCTTTCCTCCATGCACCCGGCGTGAAAACACGCCCTCATTCATCCCCTTCGTTAATTCCTCCTCCGACCCTCCTCTGTTGTTGTCCGTCGCTCCCTACCCCGACTCACTGTCCTAGCGCCCGCCACTTCTCTCCCTTTTTGCTAGCGCCGCTCCAACGGCAGCGCGCCCCGCTACGACCGATCTCGGTCCAAGCTCCATCCATCCCGAGGGAAACCTCAGAGGGAGCCAACTACTGTATGACTCGGTCTTTCAGCCCTATGCCCGGATGTCGACGACCAGCCTGCTTAGCTGACATTGTCCCCGCCACGCTCTCCTATGTGCTTCCCCTGGTCCGCCCCATTCAATCAGGCCTCGCCACCCCTTCAGCCTCTCAGCGGACAAGCCCTATCCCGGCTTCTCATAGCAAGCTGTGGGGCCGAGGGCGCGGGTCTGCTATGTGCCCAGGCGCAGGCCTAGGTGAAAAGGCCCGGCGTAGATCTTTTGTGGTAGTAGCAAATATTCAAATGAGAACTTTGAAGTCTGAAGTGGACGAGCGTCCCGCGGGCACACTCATACCCAACCTCTCCACCACGGACGGCGGGGAACTGACGGTGCTCCTGCAGAAAGGCCCCGCCACTCAAATTCCTTCCTGCCCGCGGGCTAATCACTCGCCGGCTCGCATAAAAAAAAAAAAAAAAAAAAAAAAAAGGACAACAGTAAATAATAAAATATCTGAACTTTAAATTGTCAGAACACGGTGAGCGAGGAGGACGAAACTGCCAGTATCGTCCCAACGCCGCCCGGCAAAACAGAAGGGAATAGCTTCGCTGGGCCCTCAACCCCATGGTCCCGTCGCACTACTTTGATATTCTCGTGTCGTCGCCGCTCGGTCCTCGACCCCTCAATCTCTCTGATGAAAATCTGACGTTGTAACCAATCGGGCTAGGCCCCAAGGCAGGGTCTAGCTTTGACGGACACCTAAATAAAACGATAGTGTGCGACGCGCAGCCCTACCGAATCGCTTTCAGAACCACCCTGTTGTCGATGTCGTCCTCCGCACGTATGCACGAGTCACCGGTAAGTGCACCAATCAAACGACAAAAATCTATTTAATCCTAGTTTAATCAAAATTAAAAATTTTGGCCGGCGCTCAACGTCGGTTTCCACAAATCATCAAAAACGAAAAAGATCACACGCGCCTTAAGTCTGCGCGCCCACACACTTTCTACTCTAGTCAATCATCTATCCAACGTAAACCACAGACGCAGTCGCGCCTCGCGCAGAATGCTTAGACTTTAAACCAAAACTATTTTTTGTCGTTTGCAAAGACCCAGGGCGGATACCCTTGTAAGGGTATTCGCACCGATAGCCTACTCTCATCTGAGTAATTCCGAATGTTTTTTTATTCCTCTTTTTCATAATTCTTTATCGGAAAATCATTTGCAAGTTGAAAGTTCGAAATTTTTCTCATTGGTAGTTCCGCACTCCATGGGGAATTGGGAGACATACTGAACTTGCAAACGAGTATTTTTTTCCTTTTTCTCGAATTTTCTTTTGCAAGGTTCAGACTTTTCCTTTTTATTAGTGGCTCCTTATCTGGGCGATTTATCCCACCCACCCCTCCCCACCTATGTTGTTCCCCCTTTGGTCTTATCTTCTCTATCTGTCCCCGGGTACCCCTTGTGGCGGCATTGGTGAGTTGCCACATCAGCAGGCCATGTCAGCAGACCACGTCAGCAGGCCAAGTCAGTTGGACACGTCAGCCAATAGTTGCGCCACGTCAGCAGCTGAGCAGTGCCACATCAGCAGCAGGGCGTGCCAAATCAGCAGTCCTCCGGCCTGGTCTATGCTCGCGCGCTTACAAATAGCCGACATGGATCAGAAATCCGGGGAAACGGCCCAGGCCTATCAGGCCCGGATGCTAGCTTTGATAACCGAAGCCAAGAAATTGGCGGATGTGGTAGCAGCCGCAGAGAAGAAGAAAGCAGAGGACGCCGAGAAGGCACGTCTGTTGGCAATTGAACAGCAGCGCCAACAAGACGAGGCAGCAGCAAAGGCTGCCGATGAAGAACGAATTCAACGACACGAGAAGATATTCATCGGAGAGCGAGCCTTGCTCACAATGGCAGTGGACTGGCGGGCCGAGGCCGAGAATGGTAAGATGCAAGAGAGTGAAAGCAGAATCGCTCTACTCCTCTCCCATTTCATGGATCTCTTGGCAACGTGCATTGCACAGCAGGAGGACATCCATAGCCTCGACGACGCGGGTCAGATGCACAACCAGGCGCTTGACCAAGTCAACGACCGCCTCCAGCAGCTGGAACAAACCGTCGCCGTCCCCGTTGCCAGCTCCTCCAACACCTCCGATCGCCTCAAGGCATTGGAGATTGACGTCGGATCTCTCAAGGATGGCGTGCAGTTACAGCAAACCGCAACGCAAGAGTTCGAGCAGCGGATCTGTACTGCCGCCATTCAATCGAGATCGAAACCGCGCGAGACAACTCCAAAGTTCGATGAGCAGGAGATCTTCTGCGACTCGACGAAGACGGACCCGATTCCATGGTTCCGCAAGTTCGAGCTGAAGTTGCAGCTACACCACGTCAGCCAGCACAAGCATCACGCGTACTTACACTCCCTGTCGGGGGGCGCGTGGCGAGCATGGTTGGACAATCTCTTGTCCAAGTACGGGGTGGTAGTTGTCGACTTGTACACCAAGATCAACTGGGATGATCTAAAGGCGGTGTGGCATAAGCGGTTCCAAGTAGAGCCGCTGGAGATCAAGGCAATGGACAAATTGACGACCTTCGAGCAAGGCACACTGTCGAGTGTTGAGTGGATTGCCGAGTACCAACGCTTGATATCCGTCCCAGACATTCAAATAGGCTTCAAGGCCGTGAAACACTACTTCGTCTCGAGGTTGTGTTCGGCGTTGGGCAACACCTTGACTCACGTCGAGGACACACTGACAGCAACGGCGGAGCTCTTCGACAAGGCCGCGCAGATTATTGTCATGAACAAGGAGGCTAAGAACCTCAACCGTTTTTCTGCGGCAGGCCCGAGCAGAGATCAACATCGGTCGAAAGTGGCTGTGGTCGCGACGACAATCCCAACCGACCCTTCTAGTGAGGCCGTCTGCCAATGAAGGGGACAGACTCACAGCCGCCCGGGATGGTGGCTGCCCCGGCATAGGCCGAGGATGAGGCAAGACGAAGACAAACACCGCATCTATCCCCGGGCCCGGCCCAGCAGCTCCAGCCCCATGGTCCCACTACGGTTTCTCCGAACAGGCGTACCAAGCGCGCACGAGATTCCGCTATTGTCTGTGGTGTAACAATGATCTCCACGACATAGTGGGCTGCCCTTAGAAATGCAAGGGCAAGTCGGGAAACGAAGCACCGTCGGGAGTGAATCGACGACACTCTCGACACCTTCAGAACTGGTCGCTTCGCGGGTGACCGCCCTTCGTTCCAAGGCACATGCGGAAGTCGATAGTCCTCTTCTATATTCTTATGAGGATTATGCTGCCTGGCTCGTTCATACGCTGGGTACTCATGCTCAAGGACAAGACGTGTGTGCGGCATCTTCTCCGTCCGACAGCGGCGACTTATCATCTTCAAGTGGTTCTTCATGGGATTCAGCGCGCAAGTTCAACATAGAGGTATTGGACCCGCTCACGTCCAAGGATTCCGCATGGCTTCCTCTCTCGACCACGGGCCGCTTGACACGTATCTATCCTTCTATGCACCACCAACTTCGCTGATGAATGACGAAGCTGCGGTGGGGGACATCCTTGCGTATGTTACCAAGGTGGCCCGCGACAAGCAGCGGTACGATGACAACAATGCATCCGCATCCAAGTTGGGCAAGCATCCTGCAGCGCTTTGCTGGACAGTGGCGCATCTCGCAATTTCATGAGCCAAGCCTTTATGCAAATGGTTGGCCTTGGCGCACAAGTTCGGAGGAAGGTAAACCCGACAGCGATCAAGTTGGCGGACGGAAGGATGCAGCAACTTATCGACCACTACATCGAGCCCATACCGGTGTATTTCGCACCTCATGTATGCGAACCGGTGACATTCGACATTTTGGATACGGACTTCGACATTATTTTGGGAATGCCTTGGCTTGCAAGTGCGGATCACACGGTCAACTTCCACTGGCGGACTCTTACCGGCGTCGAAGTGTCGTGTACTATTCCTCTTCTGCACCCTTCGATTCAGTGCCAAGTGGTGACGGCCAAGTCATTCCGGGCTACTTGTGCTTACAAGCAGCCCGACGAAATCGGCCTATGTTTCCTACAGACCGTCGCGGTACCCGAAACGCCCCGACGACCTTTCAAGCGGCATTGACCAACGAGTTTCGTGCGATGTTGGACTGCTTCGTGCTGGTATACTTAGACGACATTCTCGTCTATAGTCGGACATTGGAGGATCATCTTGAGCACCTTTGACGAATGTCGGAGACACTCCGTCACGCCAAGTAGAAAACTAACCGCAACAAGTGCGAATTTGTCCAGCAAGAGCTGGAATACTTGGGCCATTTTGTCAACACCGGAGTCCATCAGTCCGTTGTCGGACAAGATTCAAGCCATCCAAGAGTGGCCGGAATCACGTAACATCACGGATGTTCGTTTGTTCCTTGGCCTTGTCGGCTACTACCAACGTTTTATCAATGGATACTCGAAGAGTGCGGCCCACTAGACCAAGCTTCAATGCAAGGATCAACTGTTTGACTTCGGGGAGGATGCGCGGGAATCATTTTTGGCTCTCATAGCAGCACTATTATCTGCAGAGGTCTTGTGCATATACGACCTGCTATTGCCAACGCGCATCACTACGGATGCGTTCGGCTATGGCATCGGTGTCGTCCTCGAACAACACGATGGCATGGACTGGCACCCGGTCGAGTACTTCAACAAGAAAGTGCCCGTCGTGCAGTCCATTCATGATGCACGCAAGGAGCTCCTCGCCTTCGTCCACACACTCAAGCGGTGACGACACTTCCTCCTTGGTCGAAGTCAATTCCGATGGGTAACGGACAGCAAGCCGTTGGTCTTCTACAAGACCCAAGACATCGTCAATAGCACCATCGCCCATTGGATGGCTTTCATGGACCAATTGGACTTCTTTCCCGATCACATTTCAGGGAAGTCTAACCGTTTTGTGGATGCGCTTTCATGGCTTCCGGATCATTGTACCGCAGTTTATTCGACCTTCGAGATCGACAACGACCTGCGGGACAGATTCATCCGCGGCTACCAAGCCGATCCCGAGTTTCACAATAAGTACGCGAATTGCTCCTCTCCTAATCGGGTGTCTTCTCACTACGAGATCCAAGAGGGGTACTTGTTTGTCCACACGTGGGGGAAGGACCTTCTTTGCGTACCAAGTGACTCTCACTTGCGTACACGGCTTCTTGGCGAGTTCCACGATGCTCCCGCCACTGGATATTTTGAACGATTGGCCGACTTTGTGATCATTTTTGGTGGCCCGGCCTTCACGGCGACGTCACATGCCATTGCGAGTCATGCGAGGTTTGCTGACGCTGCAAATCATGTAACCATCGTCCATACGGCGAGTTGCGACCATTACCGGTCCCCTCGCACCGAAGGGAAGCGATTACCATGGACATCACCGGGCTGTTCCCCAAGCACAAGACCGGTGTGGATGGGATTCTCACGGTGGTCCGCCAACTCACCAAGTTCGCCATATTTTTGCCTTGCCGCTATCATGCCAAGGCACCGGAGTTGGCCGAGGTTCTTTACGCCGGTTGGATTTGAACCAAGGGTTACCCCAAGGAAATCGTCTGCGATCGCGACACTCGGTTCATGTCTGGTTTTTGGTTGGCGCTCATCAAACGATGGGGCTCATCTCTCAAGCCAAGTTCGGCTCGGCACGCCCAAACCGATGGCCAAACGGAGAGGACGCACCAGACCGCACAGGCTCTCCTTCGCATTCTCATCCATCCCGACCAAAAGGATTGGGTTGAGCGGCTGCCGGATGTCGAGTTGTCATACAAATCGTTTCGCCTTTCGAGTTCGAGCACGGCTCGCCGGTCACTTCTCCGGTGGACACAATCATTCCACGAGCGGCGGAGAGCGACGACCATCTTTTTTTCTTGCGTCGGATTCAAGAGCTCCTTGTCAAGGCACGCGACCAGATGGCTAAGACGCAGCAACGCATGAGCCAACAGGCCAATCGCCAGCGTCTTCCTTGCCCATTCTGTGTCGGCGATCTCGTTTGGGTTTCCGCCGCGGAGTTCAGCCTCGAACAATATATCTCTCGAAGCTCCTCCCGAAATGGATGGGGCCCTGGCCGATCGTGACACCCGCTGGGGATGCACCCGAAGGACCTTCCTTCACCATTTAGGTGCCCGCCCACTTGCCCGTCCACCCGGTCTCTCATTGCTCGAAGTTGGCTCTTTACACGCCAGCGGAACATGACGATTTTCCCGGGTGACGATCGCAAGACCCACCCTCTATGGACGGTTTTCAAGAGGTCGGCGAGATCATCTCCCAGCGATACTACGGCAACAGGCCGACCGAGCACTCGGTACACTTTGCGTACTGCACGCACAAAGCTGACCGGTGGTTGACCCGTGCGGAACTCCAAGCAACTGCTCCAGATATTCTCGCAAACTATGAACGCAAGATGCAAGGCAAGCCGGTATCTTCGGCTCCACGTCACACCCGCGTCCAGGTTCCACCTTCAGATCATCAGCTTCGCCCTCGACCCGRCTTGACTTCATAAGGAGGGGGGGGTGTTACATGCTGCGCTTGCAACAGGCTGCACGGGCCATTTTCAGGCCCGTGTTGTTTTTAGCCTAAAAGCCTGAAAACAAGGGCCTATAGGTTTCGGCCTCGACCCGGCTTGACTTCATAAGGAGGGGGGGGTGTTACATGCTGCGCTTGCAACAGGCTGCACGGGCCATTTTCAGGCCCGTGTCGTTTTTAGCCTAAAAGCCTGAAAACAAGGGCCTACATGCCCTGTGTCATTTCAGCCTAAAACAGGGCCCTTTAGGCCTTGAGTCTTTTCAGCCTGAAACGGAGGGCCATTTTCAGGCCCTCATAAGATCGACCTGCCCTGAAAATTAGGCACCAGACCAGGAATTTGGCACAGGCCATTTTGGGCATGTTTTCAAGACAACCCTTGTTCGAGTTTCAACACCAGGGTGTGGTACGTTTTGGCATTGGCAAGAGCAGCCTCCTGGACGGGCCAGCACTATATAAGACTGGCCCGTCCTGCAGGCTGCAGGTAGTTCATAGGGACTTCCCAGGCACTTCACGTGCAGTTCATGAGGCAAGAGGTAGTCTTCAGGATTCGGCAGCAGCACTCTGGAGGAGCGCTGCAGGAGTAGTAGTAGCGCTCGCAGTAGTCTTCAACACTGGGCACTAGTAGCGTTAGCAATAGTCTTCAGCGCTGGGCGCTATTAGGAGCTAGAGTAGTACTGGAGAGAGAGAGAGATTGTGCGGAGGCCAGGGAGACTTACCTGCGGCGCCATAGTTCGACCTTCGTCTTCGAGGTACCTGCAGCACGACGCCATCTTCACATGTTAGTACCTGGCACATGAGAGAAGAGAGAGTGAGTACTTCTTCTTCCTCCTCTCAGTCCACCATCTCCCTCTCAGCCTCTGGCTACCTGACTTCACTGCATCAGCAGACTACGAGAGAGCGGGCTTGGTGACATTTGGATCCAGACTCGACATTGGGCTTCATACATTTGACGAGGGATTATCAGGGACTTGTAACGAAGACTTGGTGTTGACGACATTCCCATCTTCCCCCTTCTTCTTTGTCTGATCCCCTCCTCTTCGTGTGTGTATGGTCTGGACCTGGAGCATTCTTCCTATGTGTAGCGCCAGGCCCCCTTCACACCGTGTGATGAGGATGATGTATGTTTTGTGCAATCAGACTCGTTTTCAATCACACTTTTCATGCATGTAAACAGCAACGCAGCATACTGGCGACATGCGCCCACTCAAAACTCAGAGATATGGCTTTCAGATACGAGTTCACTCTCAATTGGCTATGGCGACTTCAGCGCCCAAACATCTCACTGTTCACATACACTGGATCACCCTGGATATCCCACACGCATCACTCTAACACTCGAACACACACACACACTTACT